CGGTCCGTCTTGTCTGCCACTTTCTTTCCTTCATATGGGCCAAGCACATCAAATTATTCTGACAACATTGCAGCGGTAATTTACATCAACAAAAAGGGCAGTGCCAAGTCTCCCTACCTCTGTTCAGAGTCCATCCACCTTTGGAATTGGTGCATCAAACATCAAGTCACACTCCGCGTACCTCCTGGGCACCCAAAGACTCCCTGTCAGATATGCTCAGCAGGACACTACCTGAACCATGAGTGGAAGCTGCACAGTGCCAAGCTCTGGTGCCTCTTCCACTAATGGGGCACCCAATTCTGAGACCTCTTCTCCATTTGAGACAACCACAAACTTTCGCTTTATTGTGTCAGAGGAGCCATGTGGGAGTACTTGCAGGGTGACGCCCTTCTCCTCCTCTAGACGGACTCCCTCCACTACACCTTTTTCCCTCCCCCCGCAAGTCCTGTACAAGACTCGTCGGGATCAAGTGACGGTAATCCTAATAGTTCCATTCTGGACCTATTGGTTTTGGTTCACAGACCTCCCAAACCTCTGTCTGCACACCACTCTATTTCCACACACTACTGCATCTCCTCATGCAAGACTGGGGTCGACGCTAACATTCCATTCTCAGCCGTCCTCACTTCACAGCTTGGTTTTTGGATGGAGCTCGGGGATAGATAGAGCATGCTCCACCCCAGTGCAATGTATCCTTACCCAAAGCAGGAGGGCATCAACCAGGGCCTGCTACCAGGTGAAATGAAAGCACTTCACCTCCTGAGCTCACCTCCACAAATACCTGCTGTCTACGATATCCATACCTATCATTCTCAACTATCTTCTTGAACTCGAGACTTTGGGCCTAGCCTTCAGATCCATACGGGTCCACGTAGCAGCACTCAGTGCCTTTCTCCCCTCAGTGGTTGGCACTTCTGGGCTCACACACACTACCACCCTCTGTTTCCTAAAAGGTTTGCCCAATACCTTTCCAGCTGTACTCAAACCTACACCCTTGTGGGACCTTAATCTCATTCTCTCTGCTTTCAGGAAACCACCCTTTGAGGCCCTAGCAATGTCTTCCCTTTCTCATCTCTCCATGAAAATAATCTTCTGGGTAGCCATTACCTTGGCTAGACGAATCGGTGAGCTGGCAGCCATGATGGCTGACACCTATCCCTCCCCCCCACGTTGTCTTCCACAAAGACAGTTTCTTTACATGTTCACCTTAAATTCCTTTTGAAGGTGGTGTTGGAGTTCCTCCTAAATCAGCGTATCCACTTCCCGGTCTTCTGTCTCAAACCCCACGCCTCCCACATTGACAGGATCCTCCATTCCCTTGGCATCCGACATGCAGTGGTGTTCTACCTCCACCGAACCCATGACTTCTGTGCGTCAATTGCTGATGGTTGTAAGGGCCAAGCCTTCTCCTTACAGTGCATTTCCAAATGGGTTTCTCTGGAGTATCTGTGAATGCATGCACTCAACAATGTAACGCCATGTGATGTTGTCATGGCACACTTTACCTGAGCACAAGCGGCCACATTGGCCTGCCTCGCCGATGTCTCCTCCCAGGACATTTGTCGCACAGTGATGTAGCGTTCCATGCACAACTTCACATATCATTATGCCATCACCCACGCAATGGCTGCAGCTGTGGCCTGCGTTGTACTACAGACAGCACTTCCGAGCACATCCTCGCACCCACCTGCATGCTGGTCACTGCTCGCTACTCATCCACATTTGGAATCCATATAGGGACCATTAGTCGAAGAAGAGAAAGCTACTTACCTGTAACTGGAGGTTCTTCAAGATGTGTGGTCCCTATTTGGATTCCAGTACCCACTGTTCATCCCTTCTGCTATGGACTCGACTACTCAGTGGTAAGAGGAGATGTAATGGGAGAGGCGTCGAGCTGTATAGCCTATTATATCCTCAGCTGAGAGCATGAAAGGATGCACGTGCAGGTCAACAGACACTGCTGAAAAAACCTTCTGGCTCTGGTGCATGGCGTGTACGCGCATCCACGTTTGGGATTACAGGTAAGTAGCCTCTTCTATAAGATGCTGCATGTATATAGGGTTGTGTGAGCTTTTGTTGAAATACTATCCAAATGTGTATGCGTAAGGAAGTAGTTAGTTACATGTTATACCTGAGTTTTCATATTGTTTTGCCTTGGAGAAGTTAGCATCATAACCTTAAAATTAAATTTAACATTGCAATGTGTGAGTTTTCATTGTTTGTATTCTTTTTTTTCCTGTCTCTCCCTTCCCAGCTTCATTCTCCTTCAAAAGATGGGAGGAGGTGAGAAATAGGAAAAATTTAAAATCTTCAGACTCCTCCTTGGAGTTTAGAAATTGTGAAAGCATAAAGACTTCAGCACATAATCCATTTTTTGCAGCTTAACTTGTGGGCAGATGAAATTTTTAAAAATAAAAACTATTATTGTAGGTTACATCTGCAACATAGTATTATTGCTCCCATTGTTAGCAAAAGTTAACATGGATTTTTGAAACAGTTCAAATGATTCTAACTAATTTTTGGTCAAAATAATAAATAAAATGTGTTGAATTTTCAAATAGGACTATTCATACTTAATATTTTCAGTTATGAAATACATCCATTTGAGTTGCATATGAGCAAAAAAAAATCTTGAAACTTAATTGAGAAGTGTGTTCCATCTCGCCTCTGCTCTTTTGTATAAGTAAAAGAATCTGAACAAACTAGCCAAATTTTCAGAGGAGAAAACAGCTATTTTAAAAAAATCAGAACTCTGAATAACTGCAAACTGTTACAGTAGAACTTAAAACTTAACCTTAAGTATAACAGGAGCTTCATCTCCTATTTAATTCTTTGTGTAATAAGACACAAACAGCCTCATCTGTAAAGCAAACCTCTACTTATGTTCATGCAACCTTGCACAGACTCCGGTACATGTACTTTAGTGTATGCTGTTGATGATGGGCTCTGCTCTTGCCAATTCAGGCCATTCCGTCAGTGTGAGCCACCTGAAAGAAAAGCAGTGTATGTCACTTTAACCTATAGTTCTTCCCTCTATCTTATAACACTTATTGTCTCCCTTGGGTGCCATCCAGTTAAGATGAGATTAGAAACTGGACAGTAAGGTTGTTGGCATGGTTTAATATTTTTTAGTGTGGGCATTGAACAGGGCTCCCTCCTCCACAAAAGTCCGCTCAGCCTCCATGGTTGTATAGTAAAGTGCACAGTGTGGTGTGGGTAAGTAGACTCAGGCTTGCTTGTCCTTGAATATTAGTAGTGTGATAGTTGGGGGTAGTGTATCAACCAGCACAGGGCAGGTGGCAATTGAGGCTGTGTCAGGGAATGAGTCTGGCTGAGCCAGCAAGGCACAACAGCAAGTTGGGACTGGGGACCAGGGACAGATGGGATGATGTTGCATTATCTCTTCTCAGACCACAGTGTAACAAGGCTGCTTCAAACAGCCTCTTCTGGGAACCGAGGCACTCAGTAGTACTGGCAGGATCAATTCAGAGCACAGGAGGAAACAAACTGGCCCACCAGTTAAAAGCTAGTAGGCATGACCACTGGTAACGCTTTCTTAAGATAGTGGTTGTATTGAGGTAGAAAAAGCCAGGATTGGGGAGTAGGGATTCCCTCTCGCTCGTCTGCTTCACTACCACTGATGGTATTAAAATGTCAGTAAAACTACTGACATTTTCAGCTGAGTGTCTGGTTGTGCATATTTCCAAAGGCTATGGGCTGAATTTGGCTTTTAGGCCATAGGTTGGAGAAACCTACAACAACTAAACAAGCATTGACTTTTCTGTAATTTAAAAAAAAAAAATTCTTGGCTAACCGTCACGATATTTTGTACACAGGAAGATTTGGTTTGAGTATGATCTGAACTCTGGTAATGATCGTGGCTGTCCATCCCTTAACCTGACTAGGTGGTGGTAGATTGATAGAGGTTAGATGTGGTCTCAGTCTTCCACTCTCATATCTTCCACTCTCTCTCACCCTCCCCTCCCCCCCCCCCCAAAAAAAGCACAGGTGTTAATCCTCAGGACAAGTACTCTGATGCCATGGAGATGAGCATGCTATACAAAATTAGATGGGCACAGCTTACTCATTTTCATCCACATGCATCAACCACAGTGAGGCACCAACCCTTCCCCAAGTAAGAAGTGTGGAGAGGGAGGGCTGGAAGATACCAAAGGAAGGGGCGGGGGGGGGGAATAGAAAGAAGGAAGACTGAGACAACACCAAATTACTGATTTGGTATTCTGCAGAGTATAGGTAGGCATTCTTGTGGGTTAGGTCTCCTTACTTCTTAGTTCTGTCATTTATTCTGCAGTCCTCTACCTCTGGAATGTCTCGTTTCTCTGCTGGTCAGCCTCTACACTTTAATATATAATGAGGCCAGTCAGCCTATCTTTTGCATAGAAGATTGCCTAGATGGAGTCATTTTATCAGTAGCTTTTAGGGCTTACGAGTAATCGCAGTTAACACTTGCAATTAACTCAAAAATGCATCAGTCTGCACTGCTTTGGATTGTTATTGAGCAGAACCCATCATCAGCATGGACACATGTCCCCTGGAATGGTGGCCGAAGCATCTGGCATGTAAATATCTTGCGACGCCGGCTACAACAGGGCCATGAGAATGCCTGTTTTCACTTTCAGGTGACATTGTAAACAAGACGCGAACGGCATTATCTCCTGCAAATGTAAACAGACTTGTCTGAGCAATTGGCTGAACCAAGAAGTAGGACTGATTGGACTTGTAGGTGCTAAAGTTTTACATTGTTTTATTTTTGACTGCAGGTTTTTTTGTACATAATTCTACATTTGTAAGTTCAACTTTCATGATAGAGAGATTGCACTACAGTACTTGTAATGGAGGAATTGAAAAATACTATTTCATTTTTTTTACAGTGCAAACACTTGTAATAAAAATAAATATAAAGTGAGCACTGTACAGTTTGTATTCTGTGTTGTAATTGAAATCAATATATTTGAAAATGTAGAAGACATCCAAAAATATTTAAATGAATGGTATTGTATTATTGTTTAACAGTACGATTAATCACGATTAATTTTTTTAATCGCTTGACAGCCCTAGAAGCTTTACCTCTTATGTACCCTTCACCTGCCCTCTGCTTAGGGTGACCAGATAGCAAATGTGAAAAATCGGGACAGGGGGTGGGGGGTAATAGCTGCCTATGTAAGAAAAAGCTCTGAATATAATATAAGAAAAATACCCTATAAAATTGGGACATCTGGTCACCCTAGCTCTGCTCAACTGATGGCAGAAACAGCTTAACTTCACTCTTGCTATACTCTGTCCATGCAGACATAAGGAATTTGTTTGCCTTGACTGAAAGCCTACAAGTTCAGGTGACTGACTCTATCCTCAGCCTGACTACAGGCTAGGAAAGGGAGCTGACTGGAGAGAGAGCAGTGCAACTGTCATATAGTTGTCTTCAGTTCATTTGCATGCTGCAGTTCCATGGTTAAAATGTCCTTCTCCCAATTTAAAAAGAGTCCTCTATCTAAGAGGTCATAGCCATGAAATAGAGGTCTGACTTTTCACACTTTACCTGGCACTGGGTGTGAAATACTTTTTCCACTGACTTCAGTGGAAAAACTCCCATTGACTTCAGTGGAGCCAGATTTTCACACCAACAGTTTGGCTATGTTTAAAATAAACATAGTGCAGAGGACTTGATATAGCTAGAGTAAAGAATGCAGGAACTCCCATAAAGTCTGTGGGAGTTTTGCCTGAATAAAGAATGCATAATTAGTCCCATTGTCTCAGTGGGTGGAACAGACTTTTTCTCCTGGTTAGGGAGACTGCGTTACTTACAGACAGATCAGCCAATTGGTAAGTAGGTTAAAATGAATGAAAATAAAACCTGCATTTCTCCCTAGGAGATAATGTGTGTTTTTATAACAACAATGATTTTTTAAATAATTCTCTAGTTTTTTATCTTCATATTCACGTGCTGCTGCTTTTTTTTACAGGGATGCTAATTTTGAGATGGTGGGTTTGTGCATTGTGTTCTCATGTACTGCTCTGTGTGACCTAGAAATGCTAGCTGTTAGTGCAGTGTAAACTAAAAGACATGTTGAACATATTTATATCTCACCTTTTGGATGCCATCAAGCCTTTGCTAGGAAAAGTAATCTAGTGTGCAATACTTTCACATTCCACACACATGTTATAGAAACATACATAGTCTCTTTTCACTAACAAAGTATTAGAATGCAATGGTGAATCTGAAGATGAAACTACTGAATCATTCTGTAGTATGGAGAAGGATACTGGTTGAGAGCATTCATGTACTAAAAGAAATGTGACCCCTTCTTTATCTTCCTTTTTATCATCTATTTAACTTCATCAAACAAAAAACACACTTCTCTTTTTTTGTATTCCTTCTTGTGTCTGAACCCAGCCCTTGTTATGCCTGCATTTCATGATGCCTGGCTGAATCAGTGCTTCTGAGACAGTTTTAGGAGGTGTTCCTTAGATTTGACCTTTCCAGTGATACTGTTGCACTATGAACAGCACAGTAGAACTAACTTAACACACACGCCAAAAAAAAAAAAAAGGGAAGGAGGCAGCTTTGCATCTGGAAATACCCAACACTGTTAACTTGTTTTTATGGTGCTTAGCCTGATCTGCAATGCCGAAATCCTTACCCTACTGTTCCTGATGTTGATGAATATTGTGTGGTGTGTGTGCTACAAAACTTCTTAAAATAACAAGATGTCAGTTTGTCAGTTTCCCTCTTAAAAACAAAAGATGCATAATAAACCTAACCTGATTGCCAGAAAGATTGGTCAGAAGTTATAATTTCCCACTTTGTATCTAGTGCAGGTTTTCCCCTGAATTGTTCTTCTGAGTGTTTTGGCTGATCCTTTTTTGAATGTTTCCATAGATTGTGCTTCAATGACCTCTTGGCTGTTGTTCCATTCTATAATTGCTCTTACTA